GGGGGGGAGGGCTGGCAGGCCCAGTTGTCGGCAGTCGTCGCACAACTAGGGCCACTGTCACCACCCCATTGCTTTGTGGGTTAACATCCTGACCATTTGTTGAGAGAACCAGGGGATGCGGAGTGAACCACCAAAGTGCGGATCCCTCCAAGCCATCCACCTGCGGCCCCCTTGTCTCCGGTCTTCTTGACTCTGTCTTGACACCGAGCTCAGGCGGGGGAGTAGGAGAGAGTGTGGTAGATGCAGCGCAAGTCTGCCGGCACTATAAACCCTCGCGCAAATCACCGTCCCTGTTCCCATCACCTATTGTGGGACACACGGTGGACATCGTCGAAATCGACGGTCGAACTATGTGTGCGCGTGTGGGTGCGGGTGGGTGGGTAGGTGTGTGTGTGTGTGCGTGTGTGTGTGTCCCCAAACGCTCCAGGTGGTAGATGCGCCGGACTAACATGGGGGCCATATCGAATTCTGGCAGGCGTTATCGGATTTGCGCACCATAACAAATTTCAGCATTTCGGGGTGTAATAGCAGACCCGATTGCTGGCAGAAGTCAGGCACACTGGGACCCCTGTCGTTCCTCCATCGTTGATGTTCGTCAAAAACCTGGTCATTTGCTGGGTGGACCAGGGGGTGTGAAGTGGAGTGCCAAGATGCGGGCTCGACCGGGTCACCCACCTGCGCCCTGCCCCGCCTCCGGTCTTCTTGACTCTGTCTTGACACCGTGTCCAGGTGAACAGTGGGAAAGGGAGAGTGCAGCAGATGCTGAGCAAGTCTACTATCTCTATAAAATAATTCATGTTTGAGTCATCATCCCTGCTCTCACACTGCTGTGGGATACACCGTGGACATCGTCGGAAATGAAATTTGAGCTGTCGTGTGTATATGTGTGTGTATCTTTCTTTCTCTTCCCTCTACCAGCAACTTGCCTGGGTCACGCAGATTGGAAACGAAAAGATACACAGTGAACGATTTGATGCTAAACTTCCGTCTACCACCAGACGAACGTAGCCATGACCTTCTTTAAGACCCAGCGCCAACATCGTAGTCCGGTTACCAGGCGTCACAGGTCTGCGCGTCCCATTTTTGATCCAACGCAGTCCGTTTTGGGAGGACACTGTCCGCCACACATTTCGAGGTCTCGCTTAAGGCCATGCAAAAACGGCCTTTCCCCGGCCGTCCAGTTTGGAATGCAGTTCGCTGGGCAGAATAACTTAAAATAGGTCCACTTTTAACTGTACATGTTTTCTTTTGCTACGCCTTAGGCAGGCACCTTCGACATTTATGACCACTGATGTGACCCATTGGTCTCAACCTTCGCATAATGCCTCGATCTGCCTTATTAGTTGTCCTCGAAACGCCGTTTTCCCACCAAGTCCTTGCGACTGACGACTTAACTCTTGCTGGCGTCATTTGCAAAGCAACTTTTGTCCGTTTCTTCGTCTCCCCCCCCCCCCCGCCTAGCGCAGGCCCTAAGTTTGCAGGTGATTTCATGCCAGAAGTCCCTTAACTGGCTAGTATTAAGTGAGTACATTTCGCATGCAATGCCTAATAGACTGTCGGTCAGATATGCTTATGTAGCCGCACCTGAGGCAAACAAACCCCAGCCGCCTGTAATACGGAACCGGTGGTAATAGGGGTTTTTACAGGTTGGGCTGGGTAGCGTATAGACGACGAAGCCAAGTGATTGCATGCAAAAGAAAAGCTATTGGGAATGCGCGGTTGTACTTTGAGTGGTGGAGGAATAGTTACCCTAACCCTAACTCCTAGCCCTAACCGCTAGCTCTAACCCCTAACTTGGAGGAGAGAGCTAAGATTGGGGTTGGGGTAACTGATAAAGTTTGGAGAAATGAACAATTGGTCCTCTGGGATTAGCCGCCTTCAGAGTGATGGAATTAGTTATTCCCGTGTCCAATCCCGATAATGCCCACATACAGGCGCCCAGCCTCGCATTCAAATCGCCAGAAACTTGAATTGTACACTCAACGTGTTGCCTTTCCAGCTGAGGACCAGTCCGTCCGCAACCCATGAGATCGGATTGCTTCATACTCTGCGGTTTTTTAC